TATATATATATATATATATATATATATATATATATATATCATATATTATATACTCTTAGAATTTACTAAATGATTTTTGTTTAATTACACATAATAATTTATACACATTTTTCTCGAAATTAATGATAAACGACTAAACAGTACAGTATACAAATCATACCGTTTGCATTCAGATATAGCGTACGTGTTCTCCTTTTCTTTTTTTAAATAGTGTATATAATTCACACGTGTTAGCACACGTTATAAGAACATAACGCGTCTATCTTGTTCATACAAACGAACGAGACGCATGTATCTTCACACTTGTAGATGGTTTCTTTTTATTCCTTTTGCACAATTAATACAACACGAGTCGAACTCTTTATTCACTAATAATAATTTAATTGATTAATCAGCATAAATTTATGAAAACATTTTTCTCCTCATGTTCAGACAGTCATCACAGAATGAGAATGAAATATTTTTTATCTTCTTGTAATTTAAAAACACATTTACAGTCGTACGAATCATTCTTCCTTTTTTTTTTAATACACACTAGCTATCACACACGCAGAATCATTCGATCGCATTAATTCAATGAATTTTATATATATCAGTATCAATTTATCATATGTACTACATGTCCACCCCATGATTCTTACTTAAATAGCTTCGATAACTCAGGCAACCAATATTCGTTCGCATATTTTATATAGTAACCATATCATTTCATTTGATTGCACTGTACGCAATATATATCGACTTATCTATTTCTTTCCTTTATTTCTTTGTGTAATTATATTGCGAATACTTGCTGCTCTAAATCTTAAAAAAAAAAAAAATTCCTCATGCTCGTTCTCACAAATGCACTGCACTTTCAATCAAGTGAAGAGAAGTCATGAGGCGGACAATTTTTTAATTTAATTTCCTAACAAATTTCTCGAGTTATTATTCATTTACATCACGCATATTTTTTTACTTCATATTTGTGTGGGTGTGTACGCGCACGCGCGCGCGCGCGCATGTTGTGTTACTTCCATTGTACGCGTCATTATTCATCCATTCAGATAATTAGCGGTTGT